AAAGAAAAAAGGCTAGAAGGCAAGTCTAAAGATTAGGGAGCAATATGGGGTGTTACTAAAAATACATATGAGGCATCTGTTATGAGAAAAAAAACACCCATAATACTATTTAGGTTGTTGGAAATGATTTTGGGGCTCAAAACACAGAAGAAATTTTATTCTACAAATTCAAATGACTAACCATAGTATAGAAACTTTCAAAAATAAAAATAAATTTAGAAAAAAACATTAACCCAGATTTAAGCTTTATTTGTATAATTCTAATGATTGCAGTTCAGAGGGATCTCTTATCTATTAATCATTTCTGAGTCTGACAAATATTTTTAAGAACATAACTATATTTGTTTGCATTTCTATTATTTATTAGTCATTTTTAGTTACGATTCCTTCTTCTCTCAACCCTCACATAAAAATATTTCTCAATGTATGTACCAGTAGTTGTAGAGCTCCCAGGAAACAAAGATTGGATGGAAATTGAATAATTTATTTCTGGCCATGAATTTTATTCTGTCCAAAGAAGGGAAGTATAATTAAAATTAATACCTTGCCTGAAACTGTTGAAACATTATACATGTATGTTAAGCTATTCTCTGAAATGGACTAATACTACATAAATGGAGTAATTTGATAAACTTGAAAATTTATGGTACTTCATTTTCCTTAGTTATTAGGAAATTGTTGCCCACCAATAGTTTAAAAGTAGTGATTTTTATTCCTTCCACATAAGTAGGAGAACATGGAGCTATGTAATGTTGTATAAAAGGATGTAACATAGAAACATAGGCTTCAGCCTCGACCTTTAAGAACCTTGATCTGCTTGGTAAATAATGATATAAGTGAAAGATAACTTATAAGCAGTATGAAAATTGGGCATAGAGAGAGAGCACTGCAAGAAGCAGAAAAACCCACTGTCATCTTAATGGAAGACAAAACTTTAAGGAAAAGGGAATTTAAGTTGCCTTTTGGAAAATAACGAGAATCTGCATCATCAAAGGAGTGTAATTCCTGGCAGGAGTCCATGATCAGAAATAGGCTGAAGAAATATATACATAGCCTTTGATTAATCATATTTACTCATTAGTCAATTTCTTTATTTGTAAAATAAAGAAATTATATCATCCTAAATATCCATTTTAACCATTAAATAATTTATTTATAGCAAGTAGGATTAATTTGGGTGGAGTAGATGATTCTTTAGAAAAAGAGTGAGAAATAAGATTAGAGTCAGTAAATTTCTACTTGTCTGCGAGTTACTAAATACAAAGCCAAAGCTTGCTTCTTATTCTGTGGAGAATGAAAGCTCATGGACAATATTTAGAGAAGAAAAGTGATATAGTGAGAGTTGTGTCAAGCCATAATAAAAAAAAATGCTATTTCTCATTTCCTTTTAACTAGACATGACTTTTTCAATTTGTATAGGGAATATACAACTCCAGAGCTGTGAAAGTCATAATGTGGTATATACCTAGATCTTAAATTCTAGAAAGCAATCCTAAAATGGGGATGACTAGATTCTAATCAGTTAATCACAGAAAAAATGAAAAAATAAAGAAGGCAAATGAGAGAAACCGGAGTAAACTTCATTTGTCCACTCTCTTCTAAAATTATGTAATCATAGAAAATATATTAGTGGACATAAAGAATTCATCAAGTCAGCATGACAGAGGAAGAGTCATATACTAGTGCTAAAGTAATGCAAATGTGCAAATAAATACAATGTAGTAGAAACCAAATCAAGTGTCATAAATCAATACAAATAAATCTCACAGGATTTCCAAAAGGAAAGAAAATTTTTCAAGAGAAAAGTCAAGATGTCCTTGTTGAAGTGGATTCATGGAGGATACGTAGGGTGTCTATATTCTAGGATAAGATGGAAAACATTTCAGGATGAGAAAATAGAAGGTAAAAATAGTTGAAACTAGAAAAAGGCCATGTACTCTTGTTTGATTGAGCCAAGGGGTATATGTAAGGAGTATGTTAATAAGTTTAGAAAGTGGGCAGCAATTTGGTTATGCATTATTTAAAAGCAAGGTTAAAGAGCTTTTACTTAATTCCTAATCGAACACATGCCTATATATTTATACCTTTTTAAGGCCCTTTTGCAAGTCAGGTATTTTAATTCCTTTTGTTCAAACAGAGAAGAACTTTAAGAATGAGCATTACGAGTATTTACGAAAGGTGCACTAAAATAACATATAACCAATCTATTCTCCAAATAGCAATGGTACATCATTCTTTGCTCTTTATTTTTTCTCATTACTCATTGACATTTATTTCCCATGATAAGAAAATCATATTATTTTGTAGGTATATGGTTTCCATGATGTCCAAATTCCTTCTCATCATCATCTTATACCAATATCTCCACAGCAAAGGGTGAAAATGTACATTTTGTTACTTTAGTTCTTACTAGCATCAGCAGAAAATCTGTTTTGAGCATGTTCTGAGGGTAAGGCACTGTACTAGGCACTGAGATATGAAGATAACTCATTAGTCTTGTCCTTATCACATAGTACACTGATGACTGATAACGCTGCTCCATAGGCAGTGTCTCAGGACATAACATAATTGGAAAACACAATAATAGGCTTCACATAACACAGACATACCCACATATACTTATGTATTTATTTATGTATTTCTTATATGCAATACTAATGTTTGTAAGTATGCTTATATAAAATACAAAAAATATATTTATTCTAGATAACTAATATGTTTTTCTATTTATTGTTTTTTTATATACAGTTATATACTGTTATTTAGAAGCATTAACTGTCATTATCCTCAATTCTTACCTCCAAGTTAGGAATAGTACCATAGGCATTTGTAAGTGTGGAGGGGGGGGGCTGCACTTTAAGCCCAGCCCAGTCTGGCTCTATTGTTTGAGCTCTTGAAACTTCTCTTTTCTCTTCTTCAATATAAATTTGGTGTTCTCTTCTCTTCCTTTTCTCTTTTCCTTTTACACTCCTAATCCTTTCTAGTCCTATTTTTCTCTACCCCTCCCTCCCCCACCAACATGAACATACATATTTAAATTTTGGTCTCAACCGAGTAAATTAATTTCAAGATCTACTAATGGATGTGAGCCAAATTTTGATAAACTCTGATGTGTAGACATAATGATTCTAGAAATTCTGATGAAAGCAAACACTAAGGCTGAGCAGACTCAAGTAGTTTTCATGGCACTGGGAAAGAAGGGCTTAAAGGGAGATGAGGGATAGAAAACAAGGTGTTATTTTTTTTTAATGGCTCTAATTGCTTATCTCCATTATGCAACTCAGGAGATATTATTGCATTATCTTTCTACCAGAATTTTCAAGTGGCAAAAGAGACAATTATAGCAAAGCAGTTCAGAATGTAGACAGAGAGTCAGACTGTCTGGCTTCACAATGTACAAGCTAGGTAATTTGGGAAAGTTATTTAAACACCTTGTACTTCAATTTCTTCATTTTTAAAATGGGGATAATAGAGCCCGCCTCAGAGAGTGGCAGTGAGAATAATAAAGTGCTTAGACTAATAAATTTTGCATTGTCAGCTCTCAGTAAATGTTGAGTATCAGCTAGTATTTGATCAAAACCTGCGGTAACACTGAGAACAGAATTGAAAACCTCAACTAATATATCTGCTCAGAGGCATTCAATAAGTATTTCTGATGTCTTTTGGTTCATTGTCAGTGAATTCAACTAAGAAATCAAAAAATCAAATTTTACTGATAATATCAATAACAAATAATTTCAGCCCTATATGCCTGTACACGATGGGTACATGTTCTGTTTAGAATGACTTTTAGACACATTTTTTATGGCTTTAGGCCATGAATATTAATGCTTCCCAGCCAAGTCATCTAAATAAATTTGCCCTTGTCAAAAAATAAAAAAATTTAAATGATGTTTAGTACTAGAGGTCCAAATATTTGGTTGCAAATCAGGTAAATAATACAGAGAGAGAGAGAGAGAGATCTTTCAGTAGGAAAAATTAGAACTTAAAACCTGAGAGCTTCTTCTACTGCCTCTCTCACTTTTCTAGAAGGCAGTGACCATCAAAGATTGAACATTCACTCTGGTGTCAGGGGAAAGTTTTGCTGATAATTGGAAAAATCAAAATCTAGTAGTTACTTAGCTAAAAAAGTAGCACTGATTACTCAGTGAGCATAACAACAACAATTAAAAAAAAAACAGAGTCAACCTTTAAAAACAGATATTAAAAATACATATGCATCTTCTGTGTGAAAGGAGATGATGGCTACTACTTCACTGTGAATTTATTCTGACTTCTCAAGCAACATGAATATTCAAATCTGCCGTCACTCAAAGTTTCCCGATGGAAGAGGATAAACATTAGTTTTTAAAAATTTTCCTCTCCTAGGCAAGGTTTTGAGGGACTAAGCTGGAGAGTTTCATTAGCCAAGATGTGGTATACTTGTAATTTTCTTTCAGTTGCAAATTTTCATGAGAGAGTAACTAGTGTAATGGTAATTAAGAACATAAATTAAATTAGTATATCAGATATCCTGTTAAGAAAATAATAATATAGTATAATAATAGATAGCAATAGTTGCTAAGACAATAGGAATGTATCAACAGTAAAGATAATGCAGTCATTTTTAGTTCCCTATCACTACAGCCAGTTTCAACAGAGAATGAGTCCATCTCATTGAATAAATCCTGATGAAACTCTAGAATGATAGGGAAACTGAGCTTTCTTGTCTTATCCTCTGGAATGTCTCAGTCCCATCCACTTTCCTTTATTTACTTCATCAGTATAATTTCCATAGATTTACGTAGTTTACGGTGTATAGGTCAATTATATACAAATACTTGGGTATTCAGAATGTTTATTATGTATTTTTTTCCAAAAGTGCTTTTTTCTTTTCTTTCCTTGTGGCGAAACACCATTAACTGCAACTGTTTAACTGCATTTGGGGGGAAAAGATTTATTCTACAGTAGTTTCTGTATAATAAGCTAAGGGTTTAGGGAATGATTTGAATTACAAATAGTTTCTATCACAGAGCAGTGTTTTTAACTCAATGAAGACCTTAGAAACTGGCAAGTTCACATCTCTACCACTCACATTTTTTTTTTTTATCTTTGCAGTTCCGCCATGGTTTTTAAATCACCCCTCCAATCTCTATGCCTATGAAAGCATGGATATTGAGTTTGAATGTGCAGTCTCGGGAAAGCCTGTGCCCACTGTGAATTGGATGAAGAATGGAGATGTGGTCATTCCTAGTGATTATTTTCAGATAGTGGTAATTATCTTTTTTTTTTTTTTCATATTAGCTTTACAATTCCATTCATTGTTTGCTATTTTTTTCACTTGCTTTTCTTTCTTCGGAAGAAGGTTCCTGTTGGAAATTTTTATGATGTGTTAAAATGGTTCTAATAAAGCAAATGATTTTTTAGACTTAAGAATTTTTGAGCTGAATAAAGAATAATCAAGCAGTCTGGTCCCTGGTCTTACAGATAAGACTTTAAAACAAAGGAAAATCAGAGGGAATAAGACTTTCTGAGTAGTTTCATGGCTGGTTCATCGAATGGAGTTTAGAACCTAGTTCTAGGCTGTATTCAGCCAGGGTTTTCTTGCTTCTTTGAGTTTTACCCATTTTAATAAGGTTTTAATAAGATGTACACTACTTATGATTATGGTAGTCTTACTTTGATAATACAGATAGCTTATTTTTGCTACCCAGCCAGATAGGACCAGCAGATCCTACATGAACAGTTAAGAAGGGCAGTGGCGATGGCGACAATGTTTGCGCTGGTGGCAGTGGTGGTGGCTATGGTAGAGAGGCCATGGAGACCCAGAGTTCATATTGTTTTGCAATTTGGAACATTGTAAAGAATTGAAGTTAAGAGAAATAGTTGTTATAGTTTCCTATAAGTTTTAGCTCACTTTCTCTCCCTGTCATTGTAGGGACATAATAGAGATGACAGTACTGTATTCACTAAGCTGTTGTCCTGCTACACTGCAAGTGCTCAATGCCTTCCATTATTGTTGTTTTTGCTGTTACCAGCAGAATTCTTTGCTCTTTTGGAAATGCTCTATGCAACTCTCCTGTAGGTGTAGTTAGCACTGGAAGTTCAGATTGCAGCTATATCAATATATGAGAAATATAAAAGACACTTTTTAGATGTCAAAGAACTTTGCAGCTAAAGAAGAGGGCTTTAGGTGCACTTTTATGTAACCTCTGAGATGCAGACATGATTTTGTCACAGAAGAGCTGTCAGGTATCCAGGCAGAATGAAGACCAGAGCATAGGCATCCTGTCCAGACACAAGCTTTCTCCATGATATTACACTGGCTTTCATTGCTAAATGCCTCTTCCACAGTCAACTTTCAGAAACTTTCATACTCTTTTGTGCATGTATTTTGTCATACCATAAAATTTCTTAAGAAAAAAAAAGAATCCATAAAGTATATTTTTATTACTTTTATCACCACTTATCATTTTACACTTTTAGTTGTATGTGTTTAATTGGTTGGGAGTAGAGTAACAAAAAGATTTAAAAAAATAACTTTTAAATGCCATACCAATCCATTACTTCTGTTAAATGCAATGTTATTTCACTACCACTGAATTAAAAAATGACCTGCCATTGGGCAACTTAAAAAGTGTTGTATATGCCTAAAATATAAGCTACTTGCATATAAAGGAAACTGTTGAGTGCCTTTAAGGACACATAATAAAATGCAACATTTATTTTTTCTACAGATTGAATATAATCTTTCTCCCAGCATGACTCATTACAGCCAACCTATTTAAATTCTGCTTTTCTTAAGGTGAAAGAAAATGTACAGTATGTGCCCTATTCACGTTAAATTGTGCTTAAAAATATTTCCCCAATAGCTCCAGAAATCTGAGAGTCATTGTCTGCTGCACATGTAACATTGAGCACAAATAGTAACTTCTATGAGAATTGTTAATTAGAAGTTAGTCCGCTTTATCTAAGAATTTTACATCAGCTGAGAATTGACTACAAGACACTAAAAACAATTAAGAATTCCCCATGAGGTAATATTTATCTCTTAATGACTTCAGGGGAAGTGATTTAACACGTTTCACTTACTGAACTAATTCTTACACTAATATCGAAGATAAACTGAGTTAGTATAATTAAATGCTATCTCTAGATCATTTTATCATCCATCCTTGAAAAAGATGGTAGTTCACTTTGTAGAAAAAAGAAGCTAATGTGCTATATTTAATCTATGAAAATGAAACATTTTGGCCAACAAGAACTATACCGGTAAAAAATATCCACCATACCCCTTCTCCAAACTTCCAAAAGGTTATATGTCAAATGCCATTACATTTTTTTAAAGGATTTTTTTAGAAATTTTTTCTGGGTAAACACTTTCAGAAAATATACAACCTTGATTTCTTGTCCTTTAGAAGTTGCAAAGATTAGTGTTTTTGTTTCATTTTCTTGTTTTCCCTCAGCAGTTACTGAACTGAGCTTCCTTCAATAAAAAATAAAAGAAGGAGATTTCTTTGGGCACTAATCTTTGTTTCTTCCGTACCTAGTAAAAGATCTTTCCATTGACTGCTCATTAGATTTTTAAGGATGATGTGTATTTATGTCAGCATATTTTTTACTGCAGAGCTAGCTTGAACTGATGCCTGTGCGCTCAGAAAAGAGAATTGGGAATGTGTGACATTTCCCAGGTGGCATAGGACGTATCTATGAGACTGAGTGAGAATCCTCCTGGTCTCCCCTCTTGTTTCTTCTGTGATGTTTTATTAAACTTTGGTCTAAGTTCATTTTGCTGCCTTGAGATTTTTGCTTTTTAAAATATTTCACCTGCTTTTTCTTCTCCCTAGGGAGGAAGCAACTTACGGATCCTCGGGGTAGTGAAGTCAGACGAAGGCTTTTATCAATGTGTGGCTGAAAATGAGGCTGGAAATGCCCAGACTAGCGCACAGCTCATTGTCCCTAAGCCTGGTAAGATGGTGGGAATTTTGCTCCAGTACCTGTAGTTACCATTGTGCACAGCCCATTTGTAAAATCCATATTGTTTTCCCTGCCCCTCAAAGTCGATACAGAATTACATAGTTAATCAAAGTGGACAGTTGTGTATTGATGATATATTCCTTCTAGCAAATTATTTATATGTATATATTAGTGCATGTGTATATAAACATATAAGTATTATTGTAACTTCATTAGTGTGACCAAGTACCTTCTTTTCTGCTGAGCTAGTAATGGATAAGTAGGAGAAAACGTACTTCTAAAACCAGGGTCTCTAATGTAAGCCACATTTTAAAAACAGTGCACCATATCATTAGTAACAAATATATGGCCACCTTTAAGCTAATAGTGGTTGCTGCATATGTTGTAGAACAAGAGAATTCTAGCTATTAATAAACTTGACTTTGCAGCTAAAGCCATAAAGCTGAGAGAAACATGTGAGATAAGCAACCCCATATTTTTAAAGGAATTGTGAGATACATCCTCCTAGGACTTGTCAGCACTGACAGAGGCCAGTGATCATCCCTTGCAACTGCTCATAGGAATGGAGGATTCTCTGGGCCGTAATTCATAGGATGAGAGTCTGCCATGATATTTTTCCCTCCTCTATAAGCCAAGTTGTACAGACATCAAGAAAACCCCTTGGACAGATTGTGTGTGTGTGTGTGTGTGTGTGTGTGTGTGTGTGTGTGTGTGTGTGTGTGTGTGTATTTCTGGGGAGTGATTGCAAAAATGGGAAATGGGCAACGTTTTGAAGCTGAAAACTAGAGCTGTCTACAATGCAAGGAGGAGGAAGGGGAGAGCAACAGTGGGAAGAAGCTTTCTTTCCACCTTTGGGGAGAACAAGAGTGTTTGAGTTCCACTTGAAGAAAGCAAGGCTGAAGTTTTCTTGAAAGGACCCGCCCCAAAGTTCCTGCCTGCTGAGGGTGTCCCACCAAAAAGACACCAGAGGGACACTGCCAGGGTGGAGCAGAGCTGAGCTGGGGCAGAAAGTCACTCAGAAAGGGCCTTGCCAACTTTAGGAAGGGCCTGTGACCATGTTCCCATGGTGGGGGAGTCTCTGAAGAAGCCACAGAACTGCCCCAAAGAAAGAGGTATGCGGATGCCTTCCAGGACCATGGACTCTTGAAAGCACAAGCTGATTAAAACATCCTGTTTCTCTTTACTCCAAATCCATCCTCTCCTCTGTGACCTGGGAGAAGCCCTAAGCTGAGGAGAAACATCGATCTGAGAGGCTGGGAACACAGGTGACAGACAGTCCTGCTGCCCCAGTCCCTGTTTTTGGTCTCAGGCCTGCTTTGGGAAATGGGAAGAAACTTTAAAATGAAAATCAGGTGAATGTTTTTAGATCACACTGAGGATTATGCATGTGTGTGTGTGTGTGTGTGTGTGTGTGTGTGTTATGAGGTTTTTCTCTTGTTGTTTGTTTTATTTTAACACTCTAAAGATAAGGCTTTTAAAATACTTTAAGGTGACCAGAGGGCCAGAGGATTGGCCCAAGTTGCAGTCAAAGATGTGAGGACCAATCTGACAGGGGTGTCTTTGAAAATGGATGACCAGAGAAAAATAAAGCTACTTCTTTTTAATTCTGCAATAGTTCAGTGAGTTCAGGCAACCAGCTATAGGCATTCAATTTCGCTTATACCAGGAAGCTCTGGTTTCAACAGGTAGCCTTTGATTAGTGGTATCCTGCATTTCACGTTGGCCCTGATTCATTGCGGTGCATGTCCATAGAGGGACAGTGGTCTCCTCAGCAGAAACGTCATTTCCTTCTTCACTAGATCCAGCCTCGGAGAAGCTTGATAATTTATTCTTTTTCTATCTAGGTGGTAGAGTGTTGTCAGTGGCTTCTATACTCTTGGTCAGTGTTTATTGTGCTTGGCATTGGATTAGAAAGAAAGTAAAAGAAAATGAAGACAAAAATCTGAAAGTGTGACAGGATGCCACTGTGACTGTCTTACATTTTTCACCTTATACATGATGGATTGCTTCTTCCCTGCTATTTAATCAGGTCTTCAAATAATGCCACTCCAATTCCTTGGAGGTATAGCATGGGCCGTGTGCACAGATGGTGGAGAGGCCAGCTATAAATATAAATTAAGCAATGAGACTGACCATGGAGAGAACATAGTCTTCTCTGTTTAAGTTTGGTCAATAAACAGTCACCATATATTTTGAGGCACAATGTGGACCTGCATTGCCCAGCTGTTCAGCTTTGGCCTGTCCACAGTCTGTGGCTGAGAGTTACTATTGGCAACCATAACAATCTGCTTCTCAATGAAGTATAGACAATGACCCATTTGAGCCTGTGTCCATTGTTGGTGGATATTTACATAAGCCTAATGAAGTTTCAGCATAGTTTTTTTATATAGAGTTAGGTATTCCCTCTTTAGCAATTAGTCACTTAGGAAATAAAGTAAACATAATCTACTTAATTAAGTTGAGTTAATGACTTGTGATTCTCTCCAGAAAATAAGTTGGGGGAAAAGATTTGAAATGTGTTCACTGTAAAATATGAAATTATACATGGTTTCCTCTAGATAAGGCATTTAAAAATGACTATACTATAAGAGGTTTTATCAGTAATGGTATATAGCTAATATTGTAACACCATATGCACAGTTCCAGACTGCTGCCTCTCTCTATATATATTGAACACACACACACACACACACACACACACACGCACACACCTACAGCCCAGACAATGATTTCCTGCACACTTAAGACTTTGCATATACTACATCAAAATATGGAGCCATATTATGTAAGTGGTAGTGAATGCCAGTTAAAACAGTATAGGTAATTTAAACCACTTTCATTATTTATTAATCTCTTCTAAGTGCTGGGGACAGAGTTTTTTGTTGTTTGTTTTAATTAATTTTGGTAGACAAAGCAGGATGTTGGTTAAGAATTTCCCTCTCCAAGTGAAATTAAGTATAGCTGTAATTTTACTATTCCATGAATAGCCTGGCAAAAATGAATTTAAGAGTGGATGTATTAAGTGTCACAGGAATAAGAAGTTTCAGTAGCCAGAGTTGCAAACAGGTAAGCAATGTTAGAATCCCATTGGCATAACAGATATGGATGAATTAATTACTTTCGAATCATCATCCAATAAAATGGAGTGTGGGAAGATAGTAATTAAATTGAGAAGACTATTTGGTAGCTGAGTGGAGAAGTTAACAATTATTGGAGCTGAGGAGGAGGAGATAGGGAGCAAGGCAGGAACAAAAGATAAGATAGATTTAAGATAACAGTTATCTCTGAGTTTCTTATTCTGGATCTAGCTGGTGGGTGGCATTCAGTTTTCTGACAGTGTCTGCTGTGGAAGGTCATTGGAAATAATTGACTATTGAGCAAGGGAGTTGGGGCCACAGAACTGGGATGCACCTATGATCAAGCGTATGTAGTCTGGGATGTGTTTAATTTAATGGCAGAAATTAGTGAAGATAGAATAAAGTTTCCCTGGGAAGAAATGTTGTATTCATTATACATTCTACCATGCACAACAAAGTATGTGGGGAAAATCCATATGATCATAAATAGAATAAATGCCCTTATAAATAGTTCTCAAAATGTAGATTTGCTTGGGCAAGATACCAAATAATGCCTTCTGTATAAGAAATAAATATGGAGTCTGTGTCTCATGTTAATAGTGCATATTTTATAATGCATAAATAATGCTGGTTTTATTTTTTCCCTCTAACATTGGTTTAAAAAAATAAAGTGCCACTGTAGTAGGAGAAATATGTTAGTTAGACATTTAGAAAAATGAGAACTGTTATCAATTACCTATCCTCTCTTGCAAAAGGTTACTGATTATAAAAGATGTTGAATTTTAAACATTTTATTAAGGCAGTATATCACATAGCCTGGTATTAGCAAGAAGATTTAAGTCTGGTTATGAACATCAAGACATAAAATAAGAATTATTTTGATTTTTTGAGGGTATTTTTGTGAGTTGTCCCTTATCAATATGAGAAGAATACCTAGAAATCCAAACAGGCAAGAGGATTATCTAGATGCATACTCATATAATTGTATAGTAAGTGCAATGAATTATAGTGTTTCTTATTAAATGATGACCCCTACATAGTAATTTCACTGGGGTTCAGTGTGAATCAATGAAAAACTGTACAATTACTCTTAACACTTCAATACCTGTTAGAATTTAATTTTTTGGTGTAATAGCACCTAAGCAAGTATATAAGAATGAATGTAACTGAAACTAAAGTGATGCACTTCTTAATCTGATATTAGTAGCTGGTAGTCAATTAAGTGGGATTTTTGTCTCTTAATATGAGAAAGCTTACCATAATTTAAATGCTTAATTGTATTTAGTATGGGATCAAATTGTTCCTGGAATCTTTCAAATAATTTAGAAGGGCCAATTCCATGTACTGGGCTGGTATGTTAGTGGACCAAAACTAGAAAATGAGTCATTATGCAGTTACTCACACAAGCTGAGATGCTCATTGAAACTACAAAATTTATCATCATTTAGTCTAAGTGAATAAAAGTGCAATTTAGTATTTTTGAGACATACTTCAGTCATGGTAATATAGTTCATAAGCTTTCCTAGGACACTTGCCTTTATAAGACTTGGTAATTAATTGTAGCTAATAAGATGCAGAACCAATTTTTTCAAAGTGGTTATTAACTTTAGTATATCTGGCCATAAATGTATTCAATCAATTATAAATTTATATTTGCTTATAAAACTAAGAATAAAAATGAGAGGTAAGTAATGTATGCTCTTTTATTTTCTACCTCAAAGTCTCCCTTCCCATAGAGAAATGTTGATACTCAAACTAATGCTTTTCCAGAGGAGTTCAATGATAGCCTAAGTTTGACATAAATCAGTTATTTGATCTTTGACCATGTAATATTCACTTTGTATATGAGATGTGTCTGCATCTCATCTGTATACTCCTATCCAGTTTACTTATAGAGATTTAAAATACATTGCA